CCCCAGCCTTTAGTGTCCTTTAGTGCCGTTTGTCAAGAGGAGGTTTATTCAGCTCGGTGTTGAGGTTCAAGGTCATGGTGCCCGTATCAGCTCCAGATCTGGAGCGTGGTGGATGGCGGTTATGTCAGGAACCAGAATTAGAGAGACACAGAGACTGAGTGGGTCCCACAATCCCATTCCGAAGCTCCCCCAAGGGCCCCAGCACCTCCCACCAAGCCCCATCTCTTTAAGGTCCACACAGCTCCCAATACTGCCTCTCTGGAGACCGAGTTCCTGACACGTGCACGTTGGGGGACGTTTCCCTAACGTCCCCATCTCATTGAGGGTACTGGGCATGCTGTGTTGGGGTGGGGTGAGGCCCCCCCCAACAAGAGCAGCCCCAGGGACAGGTGGGGCTGCGCCCTCTGCTCCCCAGCTGGTGGAACTGGCTGAGCTGGATCCTCCTGGGCCACCTCCTGCCCTTGCTTCCTCCCCCGTGGAGTGGGGGACCCTCTGCTGTGAGGCCTCGGGCTTCTCGTGTCTCCCCCACCACCCCCAGGCCTGTGCTGCACCTGCTCAGGCTGCCCTGCTGGCTCCACCTCCCTGTGTTCTGGGACCACATCTGGGGGAGGGCCTCGTCCACCTCCCATGTGACGGGGGGGGGGTGGGGGTGGAGCTACTGCTGCCCCAGCCACTACCTTCCGAGTGTGGTCTGCTCTCCTCTCTCCATCACAGGTGTAAGGTCCCCCAACCCGTGCTGTCCCTCCAGGTTTGGGCTCTTCTGATAAGGCCCACAGGTGACCGGGCGGGGGCACCAGGGCTGCACCTCGGGTACAAGCGAGCCCAAAGGGGCCAGAGCTCCATGTGCCCCTGCTCCCCCAGGGCCTCCCTGGTGCCCATCTCCTACTTCTATGGGGAAAAGGAGCTCCTCCAGCTGCTTGTGCCCTGCACCCTAAGTGTGCCTCGGGAAACTCTGCAGCCCTGAACTCCATCTCATGGCATCTGGCTGTGGTTATGGATGGGGGATCCTGGTGACCACTGTCCACCCGCAGAGGAGCCCCCCAGTCCCAGTGCAGAAATGCCCGGGGCCCAGCCAGCCTCAGGTGGATGTGCTGCACACACTCTACCTGGAGCGGCTCACAGAGCTGCACAAGGGGCGCAGGTGTGCCACGGCGTCCACACAGATGGGCATCTGGTCCTCCCCTAGCCAAGGCGTTGACATGGGCCCCAAACCAGCGCCTTCAGTGGGGGAGTGGAACTCAGGTGGGAAGGCACCTGCGGCGTCTGTGTGTCTGCCTGCACAGTGGGTGGTCCAAGATGCCTGGAAAGATCTGGAGAGGCTCCTCAGGGAGCCCCAAAATTCCCAGATGTGGGGAGCAGCCCGGACTAGACTGTTACTGGAATTAAGACTTATTCTATGCATCTGCTCTCCCACAATATGGCGCTGGGAGAGAAGTAAACAGCTTCCGCACAGCTGCCTCCAGTTCAATCAATTAACTGTAGGACTTGCTCCTGATTGGAGAGCAGCGTACTTGGCGTGTGGGCAGCCGAGTTAGGATTGGCGGAAGAGGACTATAAAGGAGGAGAGAGACGGCACGCACCAGGAACATCTATGGGGAACATCTAAGGGAACCCGTGCAGCCCCCGAGAAAGCCGGCCGGCGGTGTGCCGCTCCCCTGCGGAAGTGGGGAATGCGGCCAGGGGGAACTGCCCTTCCACGGAGGTGGAAGGGATAGTAGCCAACCCGGGAAGAACCAGCAGCAAACCTGGGGAGGGCCGAGCAGACAAAAGAACAGCGCAGGGCTTAGTGTCGTTCCTCCACGAAGAGGGGGAGTGACACCCAGAGACCCCCAAAGAGTCCAGAGTGGGGTCCCGCTCTGTGCAGTCTCAGTCGGGCTCCTGGTACCTGGGACCGTCGGGGAGTAAATGACGCTCCGGAGACACTGTGTGGGCATACAGCCTTGACCTAAGGAATCAAGGAGGTCCCCCACTAAGCACAGGACATACTTACGATCTGATACACCAGTATCTGTTTGTCTAACGTAGGGATCCCCCGCAGAATGCCATCAACATCTGAGGTGCTAGGAATCTGCATTGTTATGGCAGCAGTGCTGTGGGTGTCTTTCCTTTGGCTAGAGTTGGCGTGGCACGCTGCTCTTAAACACTCAAACATGGGAAAGAGACCCCCCTCTCAGAATCCCACACAGATTACCAAACAGTGAATCTGAGTGATAGGAGCCTGTCACTCCAGCCTCTGCCTCACATGCAACATTTGATGACTTAGGGAGAGAGAGCTTGTTCAGTGATAATGACAATGTAGCAAACAATGAAGCCAACAATGTAGCAAACAGGTAGCAAACAAGGTAGCAATGCCTAGTCAGCCACCCTCCAAATACTCCTGGGATCAACACAGACAACCTGGAGGCAATAACCACACGAGACATCCCATCTGCACCCAGTGAGGATCCCCACATTTCTGGCAGTCCCCGGGCAACCCAGGTTGTCAGAGCAGCCGCTAGAACCCATCCCACCCGCATGTTTGCCATTAATGTAGGAGCAGCTGCAGAATTCAGGCCTTGGATTCCAACGCCTGTAAAAAGGCTTCTATTAACCTGACTGGGGTGGGGGGTTCCTCTCCGAGTGAGGCCTGGACAGCAGCAGCTGCAGGAAAGCTGGGGGGGGGGGAGCACGCGTCCCTGCTCCCCTCTGCTAGCGGCCTTTGTGAGACTCCCTGGGGCTTCTCGGTCTCCTGGGGCTAGTGTTCCTGACAGTGCGGGGAGGGGTCAGGGAGAGGCCACAGTGGCCAGGGGGAGCAGGAACAGGGGGCTCCTCTCCGCAGGAAGCTGCACTGTAATGGTCTGGGTGCTGTTCCAGAGCCCTCTGCCTGCACAGGGCTGCCAGCACCCTCAGCAGGAACCCAGCTCCTTCTGCTTGTGCAGGCAGACCCTGACCCCCCCTTCCACAGGGCCTGACCCCTACCCCCTGACAACCCCGTACAGGGCCTGACTCCGGACACCCTGAGTCCCCCACCCCATACAGGGCCTGAGTCCATCTCCCCTGGCCACTCACACAGGGCCTGACTCTGACCCCCCCACACTCCTGTCCTTGACCCCGCACAGGGCCTGACCCCGCCCCCATCCCCCCTCACAGGGCCTGACCCTGCCTCCCCCCCCCAGGGCCTTTCGCTTCCTGCTGCCCCCTCTCCCCGTCCCCTGTTCCTACGAGGAGGCTGATGCAACTCAGAGAGCTGGGGCAGCCCCGGTGTCTGGGGAAAGTGCCTGGCAGGCAGTGCAGTGGCCGGCGTGATGCTGGCCTCGCTCCCGCCCCAGCAAAGGAGGAAGCACCGAGGCTTTGTCAAGGCCTGGACAGCAAGCGCACCCAGGCCAAGGGCGCTCAGATCCCAGCTGTTGAGTTTCTGACCCCCCAGCTGAGCAGGATAAGGAGGCTCCCCCAGAGCGAGCCTGCCGGGTGCAGGGCAGAACCCCGGGGCAGTGGCCGGCGTGTGGCCCAGTGCTGAAGATGGCCTCTCCCAGCCCGAGTGCCTGGGTGGACACCAGCTGTGATTCCTGCCCAGCTCCTTGCCAATGACAGTGGGACCGGCTGCCCTGACTGGTTCCTGTCGCTCACAGGGAGTCCTGGATGGAGACTCCGGGTCCTGGTCTCAGCCCTGCCCCTGAGGACACTGTGGGCGCTGCCCCTGCTGGTGTCTGTGTCCCTGTGGATCACAAAGAGACTCTGCATACAATTCTACAGCAACAAAGCCAGGAAGATCAGGCAGCAGTAGACTGAGCTGTCGCAGGGCCCTGAGCAATCCCTGGAAGGACCACGTGGGACAGAAATCCTCAGAGAGGGTGGGACAGGGAGGGCAGAGAGCACAGAGCTCCATCAGGACCAGGGCTGCTTTTCCCATTCCCGCCCATCACGGGCCCCATCCGGGTCCCAAGCAGCCCCCAGAGAGGCCCCGGGGGCAGTGGAAGGGATGGATGAAGCTGCTTCCTGGAAGATGTCCCACACGCTTCCTGTTGAACCTTGGACGCAGACACAGAGCCGGGGGAGCACAGAGCACACTGACCACAGCCTGTGCCGGGTGTCCCCTTGGACGTCCATGCTGTGGGCCCTCGGTCCCCAGGGCGGCAGGTTGGGGAGCTGTGATCTGTAGGTGGGAGGTACTGGGCTCATTTGGGAGGGGCTCTCTGTCTCCCTTTGGTTCTGGTTCTTTCATTGTTTTTAATTCTTTCAGATTTATTTATTTATGTTGAAAGTCAGGGTTACAGAGAGAGGAGAGATAACCACCATCTGCTGATTCACCCCTGAAATGACCACATCAGCCCAGGCTGGGCCAGCCAAAGCCACCAGCCAGGAATTTTACCAGGGTCTCCCACGTGGGTACAGAGGCCCAAACCCTTGGACCATCTCCCGCTGCTTTCCCAGGCCATTAGCAGGAGCTGGTGTGACCAGGATCTGATGTAACTTCAATCCACCACTCTCTATGCAGTGGTGACCACACCTGAGGTCATACAGGAGCCATGAACTTGAACTCCAACACAATCTCTTCACAAACGGCCAGTGCCAGGTGTTTGCTTACAGAGACCAAAGCTGATGCAGACTGGGACCTTGGTCTCAGCCCTCGTCTCCCCGAGCACCAGCAGGGATGACGGGGACACCGATGACGAGAAGATGGGTAGGAGCCTCCCCGGGCCCTCACCCTGAGCCCTCCTCTGTCCTAAGCCTTCACGTCTTCATCCATTGCATCTTCACCTCGGCCTGTGGGGCTGAGCCTCCTGCTGGTGGCACTGGCTCTGGATGCTGCTGAAACACAGCCTGGGCTCGGCTGCTCTCCCAGCTCCAAGGACACTAAAGGCTGGGGAGCCCAGGAGCAGCTCTGTGCTCAGCTCTCTCTGCTCTTGCCCTGGGTCCTCCCATCCCTGCACCTACTGGGCCCTGACCCAGCTCAGCTCTGCCCCAGCTGCCCCCTCCCCGCCCCTCCGGGGTCTCCTCCCAACCCTGTCCTGATCCTGCCAGCTCTGAGCTAAGCAGCAGCCTTGCTTCACAGGGGGAGCAGGGGCCCGGGAGGGGGAGACGTCTCCCAGGTCCCGGGGCACAGTCAGCTCTACTGGCAGGAGAATGCAGGGTGCTGAGACCCACCCCAGGCGGCCCCTCTGCAGCAGGAGGACGGGGTGGCTGTGCCTGGCCGTGCTGCCCTCCAGAACCAGCCTTTATTGGAGGGGAGGTCAAGGCAGAACTGGGGGTCGCAGGGCACGGGTTTCAGGGGCTCAGCAGGGAGGCCAAGCCAGACCTAGAGGAAGGTGAGGCGGGTGGAGGCAGGGACCCCACAGGCCTCCTTGTGCTCCTCAAACAGCCGCTCCAGGGCGTCCATGTAGAGCCTGTGGTAGTGGTCAACTTGCTCCTGGCTGGGGCTGCTGCACTGGGGCACGGGGATGGGGCCGCCCACTGCAGGGGAGGGAGACACGGGTGAGCCAGAGCTGCCGCTGGCTGTGCCACCCATGGCAGCCTCCTCCCTGCAGATGGGCACTCACCCACAGTGGTGATGGGCACGGGCAGGGGCAACAGACCCCAGGAGTTGGGTGAGAAGAGTCCACGCCCCCAGAAGATGCAGGGAGAAAAGCCAGCAAACTTCTTGCAGGTGACCTGGCACAGGTACTGCCAGGAGCCTTTGGAGAAATTCATAGTTTTGAAGATATCGTTCTCCCCAAAGGAGTACACAGGCACCAGAGAGGCCCTGGAGGGGCAAGGAAGAGAGAGGACGCTGCTCAGGGTCCTAGACGGCCACACCGGCACCCTGGGGGGCAAAAAGTCCCTCCCCTGTCTCCTGAGGCCACTTCCCAAGGTCTGGAAGCTCTTATGTCTGCCCAGAAAGTTCTGGAAGGAAGCCTCAGCTGTCCTGACCAATGGCTGTGTGGTGGGCTTGGTGTATTCCTGTTCTCACTCAGTGTTTACAGTTGCAGCCTGGTGGCAAGGCAGGCGACAGCCCTGGCTACAGGTCAAGGTCAAGTCCAAGGCTTTGTCTCTGAGACAGGGTCACAAGGAGAACCCAGGGCTCTGTTCCCAAAGTCCTTGCTGGTGTCAATCTGAGGCTGCTCACTGAGGAGGAGAAGTGGGCACAGCCAGGTCTGAGAATGTGGCATCAGGGCCGACAGGTGCGTCCTGGTGCAAAGTGTGCCATCGGCTCCGGAGACTGCTATGTCAGCTGTGGGTATTCTGAGGTCTGACCTGGGACCCAGCCCAGCCTCCGCTCCTGCATGCCCACTCACCCGTGCCTCAGCGCCAGGCGCACGAAGCCTTTGTGTCTTTTGAGTGCGAGGCAGTTCCGCCCTGGGGATGAGTACAGGGACTCCTGGGCACCCCCGATGACAATGACCACCGCCTTGCCCCGCTGGGGCTGAGACAGCACAAAGTCCAGGCTGTGCCGGCTCACGGGACGCAGTCCTGTGTCATGCACAGTGGAGAGCAATCACCACTCCCTAAGTGGCTCTCCCGAGTCCCTCACCTCACCCGTTAGCAGGGGAAAGGGAGCCCCACTCCTCATTTTCCAACCGCTCATCCCCACCCCATGCTAAAGGAGAGCATGGTCAGTGCTCAGGACAGGTGTGGAGTCCTGGTGGGGAACGCCCTGGCAGGGGCTGTCTCCTGCCCTTTAGCCTGGGTCTTACCACCAGCCATGACGTAGTCTCGGAAGACTGGAAGGTAGAAGAGGCCGGCCAGTGTGGCTAGCCAGGGCTGCAGCCCCGGGAAGAGCTGCGAGAAGTCATTGCAGTCGGTGGTGAAGTTACAGAAGGCTCCAGTGCTCATGACCCCGTGGGGGTGGGATCCCAGCACGTAGTTCTGGCAGGGGGGCAGCTCTGCCGTCTTCACCAGCTGCAGGAGAGGAGGGAGGCAGAGAGGGGAGGCAGCAGCTGCAGGTACTGCCTCTGCCCCCTGCTGACCTCAGAGGTCATGGCCCTGGGATGGGATCAGGTGCACCTGTTCACCTCTGCTCCTCTGTGAGCCTAGGCAGTGGGACTCAGGCTGCAGGACAGGGAAGAGGGAGGAGTATGGGGCAGTGGGGTGGGGAAGTGGGAGGAGGCGTCTCTGGGGAGGTGACCCTTCACCTTGATAGGAAAGTAATTCCTTTGGTGTTTCCAAATCGTCCAGCTCCTTGTCCACACAAACAGTCTTCCCCCTGCGGGCAGAGATACGGGTGGCAGAGTCCCCGAGGCACCCTCCCCATCTCTCCCCACCTGGAGCCCTGACCAGAGCTCACCTTGGCTGGGTGTGTGCCTGTCCAGGTAGATCCACAACAAGTAGAGAACAGACAGAGGCCAGAGCCGTGTGAAGAGGAGGAAGAGCAGAAGAACCATGGCGAAAGGGCCTGGAGAACAGTGAAGAAGAAAAAATGAATTCCTCAGGAACCCCAGTTCTGCAGCCACACCTCCCATCCTCCACCTGCAGGAATCCGCTGGCCTGGGCGATTTTCCTGTCCAGTCCCCGGGTGTCCAGGCCTCCACAATGGGATCCTCCCTCCAATGCCCTCTCCCCGGGCAGAGCCCCCATTCCCTTCCCCCTTATTCTCACCTAGGAACAGAAATGCAAACACATAGTGGAAGACGCCCACTACTTCCAGCCACTGCTTCCTGGGGCCAGGGGGCACTGCGGCTGCAGAGACGTCCATCTTGGTAGCCATCTCTGCCTGCAGGGCTCCAGGTGGGGTCACCGGTGTCCCCTCTCCCAGGGTCCAGGCAGTGGCTGGGGAGATGCGTGGATCGGGAGCCCCAGAAGCGTCCAGGCTCCCTCTGAGACTGATCTTTGAAAGTCTTGGCTCTGTCAGTCTGGGCTGACCCTGGCAGGAGGGGGTGCGGGTGGGGGTGTGTAGGGGAGGGGCAGCACCTGAGAAGGGAGTGGCCTTGCAGAAGATCAGCCCGCCCACAGGGCCCAGGTGCAGGCAGTGGCAGCAGCCACCTGAAACAGGTTGAGCACTAGGTTGAGTGGTTCCCTCTCTTCAGATCTCTGGGAATGTCCGGTCTTCCCCAGGTGCCACCACAGGCCCCGAGATGCCCGGGACCCCTCCCACCATGCACACCAACACACCATCCCTGGGAATTCTTCTCTACTTTACTTTTCCTGGTCTCCATTAACCTGCAGCCTAAGAGAGGACTCCCCGGGGCCACACAGTGGCCACCGACCGCCTAGGAGAGAACAGGAAGGGACACCATCGTGGGCGTCTACTCCTGGAGCTGCTTCCTGAGCCGCTCTGTGTGGAGCGCAGACAGCACGTCCACTGTGTCCTTCTGCATCCGGACTGCAGGTGTACCAGCGGTCACCGGGATTCCCGGCCCCATCCCACACCAGTAGCAAGATGGGGACAGATACAGGGCTGGGGCATTGGCCAAGCCCACCATGAGCCTAGGTCCAGCTCTGCCTGTGCAGCCCAGAGCAGGAGGTCAGTCCCCAGCAGGGATGGGGACAGGCAGCAGGGAGCCCATGGAAAGACCTCTCTCAGCAGGGGCTCAGAATCCTGCACCTGGCCCGCCCCAGCCTGTGGGTTCCATGGCGGACAGCTGGAGGCTCTATGGTGTAGCCAGGCAGCTCAGCCCTGTCCCTGCTGCCCGATCCTTCCCCACGGCCAGTCCAGAGCCAGGGACGCGGCTTAGCCGGGTGCTCCAGCATCCACTGCCCCAGTCCACTCTGAGTGCTCGTGTGCCAGGTCGGGGCTTGGGTTTAACGTCCATCACCTCCAGCACCTCCCGAAACCAGGACAGCCCCTGACTGCCCCATGCCCGGACAGCGGTCACACAGCCATCTTGGGGGTGGCCTCACACAGGGTGAGCTCTTGCTATTCTTTTTTTTTTTTTTTTAAAGATTTATTGGAGCAAGCACCGTGGCATAGCAGGTATGGCCACAGCCTGCGGTTTCGGCTTCCCATATGGGCACCTGTTTGAGTCCTGGCTGATCCGCTTCTGATCCGGATCTCTGCTTTGTCCTGGGAAAGCAGTGGAAGATGGCTCAACTCTGTGAACCCTGCACTCATGTGGGAGACCCAGAGGAGGCTGCTGGCTCTAGGCTTCGGATCAGTTCAGCTCTGGTCATTGTGGCCAAATAGGGAGTGACCAGCAAATGGAAGACCTTTCTCTCTCACTCTCTGCCTCGCCTTCTCTCTCTGTGTAACTCTGCCTTTCAAATAAATAAATATTCCTTTTAAAAAATAAAATAAAGACTTTTTAAAAAGCAAACACAGAGGGAGAGTTACAGAGAAGCAGAGGCCCAAGCACCTGACCCTTGGGCCAGGCCTGGGACGCCGAGTCCCCTCTGCATCCCCACCCGACCTGAGCCACGGCTCCTGGGTTCTGGGAAACACAAGCTGTGTTCCCTGGTGACCCCAGCAATGCCCCTCTGCCCCTCAGTGAGGAAGGGGAGAGCCACCTGCTCACCGGAAGTCGCCTGACCGCCTCAGGACCTCAGCCCTCAGCCTCCCCTCCTTGCTCTCAGGAAGGGATGGGGTGGGGGCTCTTTCCTAAGGGACCTGCATCTGGAGTCAGCTGGTTGGGGTTGGGGTTGGGGTGAGGGGGGCAGGGAGCTCCCAGAGTCAAAGCAAGCTGGTCACAGCCCTGGGCAGGACAGATAGGGCCCAAGGCTGGTCAGGGACTCCAGCCAAGGCATGGCGGGAACTGGCCCCTTCCCACCCAGCACAGCGCTACACCTGGCTCCTTGGAACTCAGGTGCACTCAGGTGAGCAGGCGGGGCAGAGGCTCCTCCTGGACCCAGCTCCAGCCAGAGGGCACCCCCTATCCCGCCCCTGCCCCTTCCTATCATCTCAGAATCAGGAAGTGTGCACTGGGTCCCCTGGAAGACAGGGGAGGCCCTGGGGGTGGGCTGTGGAAGGCTTCCTGGGGGTAGATGGGGGACCAGGAAGTCTGTGGGGGAGGGGCTGGTCCCCAGGGCCCTGTGGTGCAGGAGGGGCTGTGCTGCGGGGTCTCTCTCTGCCCTGCAGGGGCACTTGAGGGGGTTAGAGTGAGTGGAGGGTAATGTGAGGGTGGGTGGGTGGTGGGGTGGCAGGGGTCCCTGCCCCTTCTGCCCGACAATCTTCCACAATCTCCCAGATGCAGCCCAGTATCTGCATTTCAAATACCCTGCTCCAGACCTGGTCCGGATCCTGGGTTAGGACGGCGCCAGCTAGGCTTCCTCCTGTCTGATACCTTCAGGGGAAAATTCAGATAGGAGCTTCTTAATATCTACATCCATAAAGTCCTTTGTTTCTGGAGGAGATGTGTGAAGACAGAGACCCATCTCCTTAAACCCCTCCCCACCAGCCTCAACCGGACTGGTGCTCAGCCCTCTGCCTCTCTGCTGAGTCGCCCGCCTCCCTTCCCAGGTGTAATCTCTCCACTCAACCATGTAACCTCGCTCCTTCCCCCAGTCTGAGTGACTGGGTGCTCTCTCTCAGGTCCTGTCTGGAG